CCACCCCCACAGTGTTCTACCTGCCCATAACCCTGCTGGGAGAAGAGGCAGGATGTAACTGAAAACAGCTGCTTCCTGGGACATGCGTTTGGATCTCCTAGTAGATCACGTCTCTCTCCAGCTTCTTAGCAAAACAGCACCCTCAGGGCCTCACAGAGAAAAGTGCGGCACTGTTTCCCACTCACTTATCCGCAGTCCAAGGTACCTGCCTATCACAAGAGTACCTTCTTTCCCAAGATTCACATTTCTCTGGGGAAGCTTATCAGTGGTGGCAGTACAGACTGGAGAATCCCACCCAGAAAAGCCCAGTGCACATTCAGGCCCCACACTCTTGAGAGGGTTGAGCGATGTCTGTAAGTGCACAAGAGCAGTTTCCCATACGTGCTGCTGCAGGCGTTGGTAAGGAGGAAAGAGTTCCAGGGGTGACGCAATCTGGACTCCACCTCGGCGGGCAGCCAGTTGCCCTTATGTTCTCCCCACTCTGTTTTCCGTTCTTCCTCCAAAGTCTAGGTGCCATCTCCTGATCCCTGTCCCACCGCCCCCCGCACTCCCCACCATGCTGGCTCAAAGCGATCTGGTGCGGAAAGACATTCAACACACTGGGAATGATTCTGTCTTTAAGGCTCCCATCTCCCCAGCTAGGCTCAAACACCTCAGAGGAGAAGGACTGTGACTTGATCTACTCTGTGTCCTTGACATCCACACACAGTAGGTGTCGGTGCCTGTATGGTGGATGCATGAGCCGCTGAATGTGCCGTCCGCATTTTCTCCTTCCTTGTGTCGCTGCCACTGTTTCCATCACCTAAAATTCCTCTCGCCCTTCCTATCACCCTCAAGTATGAGAAAATTTGTTTCCTTCCTAGGTAGGGAGTCTCGGTCCAGCCTCACAGAGAAAAGTGCGGCACTGTTTCCCACTCACTTATCCGCAGTCCAAGGTACCTGCCTATCACAAGAGTTCCTTCTTTCCCAAGATTCACATTTCTCTGGGGAAGCTTATCAGTGGTGGCAGTACAGACTGGAGAATCCCACCCAGAAAAGCCCAGTGCACATTCAGGCCCCACACTCTTGAGAGGGTTGAGCGATGTCTGTAAGTGCACAAGAGCAGTTTCCCATACGTGCTGCTGCAGGCGTTGGTAAGGAGGAAAGAGTTCCAGGGGTGACGCAATCTGGACTCCACCTCGGCGGGCAGCCAGTTGCCCTTATGTTCTCCCCACTCTGTTTTCCGTTCTTCCTCCAAAGTCTAGGTGCCATCTCCTGATCCCTGTCCCACCGCCCCCCGCACTCCCCACCATGCTGGCTCAAAGCGATCTGGTGCGGAAAGACATTCAACACACTGGGAATGATTCTGTCTTTAAGGCTCCCATCTCCCCAGCTAGGCTCAAACACCTCAGAGGAGAAGGACTGTGACTTGATCTACTCTGTGTCCTTGACATCCACACACAGTAGGTGTCGGTGCCTGTATGGTGGATGCATGAGCCGCTGAATGTGCCGTCTGCATTTTCTCCTTCCTTGTGTCGCTGCCACTGTTTCCATCACCTAAAATTCCTCTCGCCCTTCCTATCACCCTCAAGTATGAGAAAATTTGTTTCCTTCCTAGGTAGGGAGTCTCGGTCATTATACAAATGTTTATGTAAAACGTTTTTCCAATTAGAATATTCAGTGCTGTGTCCAGAGTCTCTCAAGTGATATACTCATTAAAATAATAAATATCTCACTAAAGTTTCCAGGGATGCTCCCCACACTGTTTAGTGCAAACTTTTATATATTAAATATTAGCATGAATCAGTTGGAAAAAGAAGGCTGACCTCAGCTTGTGCAGGAGCTGAAGTCCAAAACCATGTTTGTAATTTGGTTCTCTCAAATGCAGACTTTTTCCCATGGAAATTCTATTATGAATGCTGGTTATAATTTCAGACTAGTCAATAAAATTCCACCTAATCCAAACAAAGGATTAATGAAGCCATCCTGAGTTAGGTGCCCTCAAAGTAGGGGAAAGAGGGAAAAGCGGGAGGAGAGAAGAATTTTCTACCCACTCTTGCAGACCAGGGCACTCAGGGGATTCTAATGCATAAAGTGTATTCATCCTACTTTTTAGTGTCCTTATACCCAGGCTGAACCAAATACTTATCTCTGCCCTATTTTTCAGTTATGGAGTTCACCCAGGCTCTTTTCAACCTTTGAAGTTCTTTAACCTTGACATTTCTAATTTTTTTCCTAGGCAAAATCCAGCTGATCTCAACTAGATGGTAGAAGCATGACAAATAGGTAAATTAATCCACATTAAGGCCTAAATGATTGCTGGCCCATAAATCTTTTATGAAGTAATTTATTTTTAATAAAGAATATTTGTTTACCTAAATGAGTTTATACTTCTAAACTGGCATAAGTTCAGTGTCTATAATAAATGAATGGAAAAATCAACAAGGTGTAGGGAAATTCTTCTGGATAAGGAAGAATTAGTCATACCTCCCTAAGAGCCTCGTCCTGGTTTCTATTAAATTATTCATTCTTTTCATCTTTTGTTTTCTAAACCACAGATTTCTATTGGATAAGGAAGAATTAGTCATACCTCCCTAAGAGCCTCATCCTGGTTTCTATTAAATTATTCATTCTTTTCATCTTTTGTTTTCTAAACCACAGATTTCTAAAAGCACCAAGAGGTTTTCTGCCTCTTTGTTTTGTTTTCATTTTCCTGTCCCAGGTGAGGACCAGGTTGACACTAGGTTTTTTCTGCGAGTGTCTGTGAAGAGCAGGATGTAAACTGATTTCATAAGCCCCATAGAAATTAGTCCCCACGCTCTACACTCATAGGTTTAAGGTATATGGTACTCACTTATTTACTTGTCCACTCACTCTCTCATTCATGAGTCATGTATCATCTGCCTTCTGGAATGTACCAGGGCCTTCACTAGTAAACAAGATGACTCAAAACAAGCCCTCCCCTCAAGCAGCTGCCAGACCAGTGGGGAGGACAGATATATCACCAGATGGTCATAACAAACCTTGTATCCAAAGTGCTAAAGCAGCTTGGAAAAGTTGGAAAGGCTTCAGAGAGGATGTGACATTTAGAGTAGATAATGCCTGTTTGTGGATGCTAATGTCTCCATGAGTTTAAGGAGAAGGAAGGGATTCAGATTTTATAAGGGTTAATGAATGCAGAAGGAAAAGGGAATGAGGACATGGAACCAAAAACTTGGATAAGGAGAATAACATTACCTGTGCAGGGAAGGCAAAGAGGCCACTTAGGAACCCCTTTCTTCCCATGTGTCATCTCTTAAAAGCCAGCCACTGGGGTCTCGTCCCTTGCACAGCATCCCTTTGCATCAAGATGGACTCTACCCAGAGAACGTGTGTCCGGCTCTCGTGATGCTAAGCACAACCGTGCCAGGCAGCCCAGCCGCATCCTTTCCTGTTACTCTTCTTCCCCGGTGCATGTTGCTACAGGGGAATGCACAGCCAACTCGGGTAGAGACCTGCTCCTGGAGTAGCAAAAAGATCTTTGTACCCAGCCCTGCCGCCCTGCCCAGCTGTCCTTGCTGTGCCCAGTGCTGAGCCTCATCGCAGAGCATGCCGGTACCACCTGCTGTGATGCGACTCTCTCAGTGTCTGCAGCCCCCTTTCCAGGACTTCCTGACGGACCTCTTACCTAGGGCAGAATGTGTTGATTTTCTAAATCACATAAATGAATAGCTTGATTGTTGATTATGTGAAATATTGGAGCAAATATTTGCAGAAGTCTTTGTGGAGTTCATTCCTGAGCATCTGATTCTTCCTAAAATCCTAAAAAACTGCTACTATCTCAAGCCCTCACTAAAGACATGTTTGTTGACAATCCTGGCCTATCTATTCACTTAACATCCTTGTTATACAAATGGTTAATGTCAGAGTTAACTCCAGAAATGGCTGGCAAGCATGAAAGTTAGGGGGTTCGGGCCCTTTTGCTAGACTAAGTTGGAAGTTAAAGAGTAAGTGGTTACTGCCTGTAGAGGCCTAGAAAACCATGGAAAGAAATTTATCCCCAAAGTCTTGAACCTTCACTCCTACCCTTCTGAAACCAGTTCTCACAATAGCCAATTCCTCAGTAACCTACAGGCACCATTCTGACCACTTAAGGAAGGATGCTAATAATTTTTACACCTAAGTAAGAATTGTGAGATGAAAGAAAAGGTTTAAAGAATAGTACATATGTGCATGTGTCACACTTCTGAAGTTAAAGACAAATTAATTACCCTTGCTTACCTCAGGAAAAATTTTCAAGTCTTTCTGAATAACTAATTTAATTCAGTGGAATTTTCCAAGATTTAGATGATGTTTTAATCAATTTGGAAGCTTGATTTACTTAGAGAAAAAATGCAAAGGACCTAGATAGGCTTATTCACATAGGACCCCACTTTCATTTCTCTGGAGGTTACTTACCACTTCCTACAAATCAGTATGTTATAAAAATTAAATGTACAGTCTTAGACTTTATTTCACAGTGTTTCTTCAGAAAATATGATCTAATATTTTTTTTCTAAGACTAAAGTTGAGTTACTGGATTTATGACTGAGAAATAAGATTGTTTACAACTGGAAGTTTGGAGGGGTTTTTTGTTTTGTTTTGACCTTTTTATTTTTGCTCTTTCCAGGTGCATTTGGTATAGTGTCTGAGACGAATTCAACCCAGGAGATCAAAATGATCCTCAACTCTTCTGCTGAAGATGGTATTAAAAGAATCCAAGATGACTGTCCCAAAGCTGGGAGGCACAATTACATATTTGTCATGATTCCTACTTTATATAGTATCATCTTTGTGGTAGGAATATTTGGAAACAGTTTGGTGGTGATTGTCATTTACTTTTACATGAAACTGAAGACTGTGGCCAGTGTCTTTCTTTTAAATTTAGCTCTGGCTGACTTGTGCTTTTTGCTGACTTTGCCACTGTGGGCCGTCTACACTGCTATGGAATACCGCTGGCCCTTTGGCAATTACCTGTGTAAGATCGCTTCTGCCAGCGTCAGTTTCAACCTCTATGCCAGTGTGTTTCTACTCACGTGCCTCAGCATCGATCGTTACCTGGCCATTGTTCACCCGATGAAGGCCCGCCTTCGACGCACGATGCTGGTAGCCAAAGTCACCTGCATCATTATTTGGCTGCTGGCTGCTTTGGCCAGTTTGCCAGCTATAATCCACCGAAACGTGTTTTTCATCGAGAACACCAATATCACGGTTTGCGCTTTCCATTACGAGTCCCAAAATTCAACCCTCCCCATAGGTCTGGGCCTAACCAAAAATATACTGGGTTTCTTGTTTCCCTTTCTGATCATTCTCACAAGTTATACTCTTATTTGGAAGACCCTAAAGAAGGCTTATGAAATTCAGAAGAACAAGCCAAGAAATGATGATATTTTTAAGATAATTATGGCAATTGTGCTTTTCTTTTTCTTTTCCTGGGTTCCCCACCAAATATTCACTTTTCTGGATGTGTTGATTCAGCTGGGTGTCATAAATGACTGTAAAATTGCAGATATTGTGGACACTGCCATGCCCATCACCATTTGCATAGCTTACTTTAACAATTGCCTGAATCCTCTTTTTTATGGCTTTCTGGGAAAAAAATTTAAAAAATATTTTCTCCAGCTTCTGAAATACATCCCCCCAAAGGCTAAATCTCACTCAAGCCTATCAACAAAAATGAGCACGCTTTCCTACCGCCCCTCAGATAATGCGAGCTCATCCTCCAAGAAGCCTGTGCCATGTTTCGAGGTTGAGTGACATGTTCGAAACCTGTCTGTGACGTCATCGAGGGAAAGAAGGAGTAGAAGAAACGTTCCTCTACAGCAAGCACTTCACTACCAAATAAGCATTAGTTACCTTTCAAAATTGAAGGAGCAAATGGATTAAGTGACTGAACCAACTTTTGTAAAGCTCTGAACAAAAGCTTTTCCTTCCCTTTGCAGCAAAACAAAGCCAAGCCACATTTTGTGTTAGATAAATGATGGCTGCTCAAAGAATGATGTCGGAAACTAGATAAACGTGTTGATTTGGAAAACATTACTAGCAGAAATGCAATCTCCTCTCCTCAATCTGCTCTTGTTCTATTATTTTTGGTTTCCACATAAAAGTATTTAGAATATATTAAACCTTTAGCAAAGCAACAGGAGATCAGAATTCAAGATTGTCCTGTCCAATTTCCAAAGGGCGGTAAAGCTTTTGTACTTGTTCAGCTTCTAGCAACTGTGGCCCACTTGTACTGTTCCTATGCATTTTGTACAGAGTTTTGCTAAGCAGTAGTTGTCAAGTTTCAGAAACTTTTGTGAAATCCAATCGGTGTCTTATACATTCACACTGCCAAAGCAATGCCAGAAAAATGGCTTATTCCTCTAATGGTGTTACTAAAGTCTCATATAAAAGTTAAACTACTTGTAAAGATGTTAGTCTGGTCCCAGGTAGTTGTGTCCTCCTAGTTATATTAGTTTTATTTCATATCTGAGAAGTGTATATAGTTTGTGGTAAAAAGATTATATATCATAAAGTATGCCATAATGTTTTTTAAAAGTATATATTCTACACATACATGTATATATAAATCTGTACCTCTAAACTGTTGTTACTTGATTAAAATCTAGCAAAGTTATATGTACCTTAAAATAAAATAATTTTATTGTAATGTATTTGATCTTCATTACTTAAAGTAAATGCTGATTTATTTTTAAAATAAGATAATTGTGAGTAAGTATAAACATTTTCATTTAAATTTTGATACAACTGATAGTTTAATACTATTAGGTACAGATTTTGTAACCTGTCATTGAAAAGATAAAGAAAACATTTTGCTCTACCACACAACATGGAATAAACACATAATTTTGAATTTTCCAAAGTTTTTCATGGAACAAAGAAAAAAATAAAATCATTCTTTATAACGCTTTAATCATATATGTAATCCTTGTAGAAAATTTAGAAGATATAGAAAAGCATAAAAAATAAAAGTCTTGGTTAATTTCACCTCACAAATTATTATTTTAACATTTGAATGCATTTTCTTTTACTTTTTTGTTTTCATTTTACAGTCACATCTATAAATTGTATGACATTGGAGTCATAATGTGAACAGTACTTTGCATACAGATTTTTCACTTAATGTCGTAGCATAATAGTTTCCTACCCAGTAAATATTTTTCTAGAACATTTTAATATTTGCATAATATTACAAAATATAGACACACCCTGATCGGAGTTAGCTAATCATCAAATTGGATCATTTAATTTTTTTCTGATTTTTCAGTGTTATCAATTAAACTGAGATAAACATTCAAGTACATGAATCTGATAAATTCCTCACACTCCTAGAAGTATACAGATATGAATATTTTTAATATTCCTGATACATATTGCCAAATATTTTCCAGATAATTCATAACAATTTATAGTACCACCAACTGTGTATGACTGTATCTCACCACAGCCTCAGCAGCCTCGTGAGTATTCACTCAATTTAAACAGAAAGGAGATATTTACTATAAGGACCCACTAGGTGCCACACGAGGGCAGGGACACAAGTGTGCCTGAAGAAGACGCTGTAACATTTCTGTTCCCGCTGGGCGGTTGCCTCATTCTTCAACCTAGAGGCCTCTGCTGCTCCTGAAGTCCACATGGGGAGGCCGAGGAGCTCATTCTAGCCCAATAAACTGTGGCCAAAGGATTGGGGTGATATATGAAATAGCTGATGGGAGCTGCGGGCGAGGGCAGTTGTTCAGAGATGTCTTGGTGCACTGGGCAAAATCTCCACAAAGCAGCCTATTATCTTCGAGTTCTCAAGTATAGAGTTATTTTGTGAATAAATGTGGTGACATAGGCCTCATATTTCGCTGGGCGGTTGCCTCATTCTTCAACCTAGAGGCCTCTGCTGCTCCTGAAGTCCACACGGGGAGGCCGAGGAGCTCATTCTAGCCCAATAAACTGTGGCCAAAGGATTGGGGTGATATATGAAATAGCTGATGGGAGCTGCGGGCAAGGGCAGTTGTTCAGAGATGTCTTGGTGCACCGGGCAAAATCTCCACAAAGCAGCCTATTACCTTCGAGTTCTCAAGTATAGAGTTATTTTGTGAATAAATGTGGTGACATAGGCCTCATATTTATTTTCCTTTTAGATTATTTTCAATTTCATTAATATGCCAGCCACATACTCCAAAATTCCTTTATTATTTTCACAAAGGATCATATCTAAAAAATAAACTCTAGCCCAACCCCCAAAATAGTGTAAACTTACCCTACTTGAAATCCCACCAATTCAGCTTTATAACAGTTCTTTTTTTTTTTAATAATCATTTTAATCCAAATGATTGCAAGCACTTTAAACTTGGTGAACCATTTGATAGGTTATAGTTGATACAGTTTCTGTTAGATAATTGTATTTAGATATCCCTATCCCATGTATTTATTAACTGGTGTGAATAACATATTCCATGCCTTGTTTTTGTTTCAATTTCATCAAATTATATTGTGATTTTTCCCCATACCATCTGTAAGATAGATATTGTAACCTTGATGATGATTCTTGCTTTCTCAGTAAGACCAACTTAATATTAAAGTTCAGTCTCTACTTACCAAAATGTTAGGATGGGATGCCATGATTTATAAACATATTTAGAGGTCAGGTATACTCCTTTTTAAAAATATTTTTGAAATTTATACAGAAATTATTTACCATAAAGATCTAGATGCCCAACAGAAGATATATATGTATGTGTATATCTATACATACATTCCAATTTACATCCCAATTTACAGTCCAATTCTCATTTGACAATGAACAAATTCATCTTTTCAATCAGTTCATTCATTCATGGATTTAATAAAGTTTGTATTGTTTACTTACTCTGTACTGGGGGACTGGAGGTGTGTAACTCATAGCTTAGAACATAATAAACATTTCAATCAACTGCTGTGGTCAGTATGAAAGAAAGCTGAGTGAGAATCAGCTTGATTGCCAAGCCATGGAAAGTCTCATAGAGTTTTCAGAGCACAGGTCTTCGGTTTCATAACTCTGTATAGAGGCCCAATTTTTTTCCAAGAATACGTGCCAACCTGGAGAGCCAGACAAGAGGAAACAGATTCAGGCAGTTCACAAAAGTGGTGAGTGAAGAAAATGAGTCCCAGGGAATTTTGGATACTTGGTACAAAGGGTAAGATCCCTGAGGGTTAGATAAGAAAGTAAATCAGGAGCAAATGAGATACAGAGAGTCTGAGGAGTGGAAAGGAGGCTGGCGGCAGCCAGGCACTGCCTCGAAGGCCAAGGTGCAGACCTCACAGGGGAGCTACACACAGATGCTTAGGCCCCTGGGACCATGTTAGATCCACTGGACCCAGACCAACCAGAGGAAGAAGGAACCCAAATATTAGGGAGGGTAGTAAGATATAAACAGTAGGCAAAAGGTATGGGGCAAGACTCAACTGTATGAATTTTATACATTTGAGGCTGCGAGATAGGAGAGAAAGGTCCCTTGTAGAACCATACAGGAAGCCTTAAGGATTTTGAAGAATAAATGTAAAGATAATAAGGTAATGGAAAAAGTAGAATTCTGAAGACAGTAATCAGAGTCAGATTTTCCTAATTTAAAATTTTGATTGAGTTGGTTAAAATATGACGTCTATAACTACATCCACTCTTACCTATCTGTGTAGTGGACACCCATGGAACCATCTACACAGGGTCCTTTCTCCCCTTATCATGAAAATTCTCACCTTACTCAAGGACAGGACCACCTCGGAATGAGCCATTTTCCTACCTAAACCCATGCCCAGGCAACAATTAGTCCATGCTTGAAGTGGACCAAACAGTTTTTCCTAAGGATTTTTCAAACAGGTATTAATGAAGAGTTGGCCCCTCCCCAGTGTTGGAATTTGTGATATGTGAGCTGCAGACCTAGTAGCAGACATGTCTTACCCTGTATGGAGGACACTGGTCTGCACTGAGAGTGAAATTAGCAGAAGAGGCAAGAACTCTCTGGTGATGCTAGAGCTCTTGATTCCTCCTGCGTCTGACACCCAACTGTATCCCTGCCCACCTTATACTTTGGAACCAGCATTCATGTCTGTAATCAAGGGACCAGAATACCATGATCTACAGCTAAGATCTTCATGTGTTTCTTCCTATCTGTGACCAGTGAGAACTTCCTTTTCGTTGTGGCCAGCACATCATCCATTGGCCATCCGACAGGAGTAATACTGTATAAATCCCAAACTTCTTGGTCTCTGTCTCAATAAGAGGTCATATGAACTAGCCCTCTCTCACATGTCTCTTTATGAGAGGGTGAAGGCCAGGACATGAGGGGTGCTTGTGTTAAGGGGAAGAGATGTGGTGATACACAAGGACCTATAGTTAAATGGGCAGAGGGTACAATACTACTATTGTAGATTTTCGTAAACTATCTTCCCCTGAGATGGCACAGTGTTAAAACATTTTTCTGTTTCCTGAGTTATTACAACAGATATGATTGGGACCATCAAATCATAAATAAAGAGAGGAAATGAATACTATGCACCACCTGAGGGCCCAAACACATGGCTTGTGTGCCACCTGGGTCCTCCCCACTCAACAGTGGCCTGGGGTTTCCCTGGACCTCAGAGCCAGAGAGGACAGCATCCCACCTTGCCCAAATCCAATGGAAAAGGTTTTCATTCACCAAGCCAACCCACCTTTCTTGAGGAATTATGTAACTGAGGTCCAAAAAAATGAATTTCCACAATCAGAAAGAGCCAGAACTAGAAACCTGACTAGCCTTTTTTCTCAAAAAACAGTAACACAAATGAGAGAATAAAGCTTTACTAATATTTAATTCTTAATCACTCATACAAAAAGAAGCTTTGCATAATAACCCTCTAAGAGTTTAAAGACTCTGAGATTTACCCTTCTAGCAGTGTGATAGGAAAATATTTACCTACTGTACAAGAGATGCAAATTTGATGAATAAATGATATTAATTTTGAAACTATTAAAAGCCAGTGTACTATTATAACTCTGCTTCAAGGATCCAAATGATGATG